CCCTCAAATCTTATTTGACTACATATATAAGACCAATAAAATAAAATTAATGATTTGGACAGACAAAATTAATAAACCTATCATCAAATATATCTTATAGTATCTAAGAAAAAAGGCAGTTGTGGTAAAGGCTATCACACTGATACACTTTGAAACTCTTTAATGATGCTAAAGAGTCAACTTTACAGTTAATGTTATAAATTCTGAAATTTTGTTTTCTAATGATTCACTGCTAGCATTAGAAATAAAGTACTATTTGTATATTAATTTCATCTACTACATGTAAATTATTTTATAGACTCCTCTTGATTTTTAAGTACACAATAATTACAGGTATAAACAAATAATTTTACTTCATCATTTTCTAATGTTATTTCTTTATTTTATTATTTTTTTCTTTTTGCATTAGACAGGAAACCTTATACAACATTGAATAAAAGTTGTGCCAATAGATACTATTCCATTTATCTCTGTCTTAATTGGAAAGCATTCATTAATTCTTCACCGAATGCAATATTAATTAAGTTTGGTCTGTCACCCAATTATTAATTTAGTTCCACCTAAGTAATCTTAAAGCAATATATGCATATATCAAAAAAATTTTTTTTTCCAGTAGCTCAGCTGTACCTCAGAACAAATTTCAGTATTAGGCATAGGGATATAAAAATCCACTATCCACCAAAGTAAAATCCAAAGTGCTTGGCATTCAATCAAAAATTACCAATCCTGCAAAAAAACAGCAAAATTATACTCAAAGTAAGGGTGAAAGTAATGTATTGAAAACAAACAAGAATAGATACAAGCAGTAAAATTAACAGTTAAGAATATTAAAAAGAGTTTATAACTACACATTGTTTAGTCTCTGAATCATGTCTGACTCTTGTAACCCCATGGTCTGTAGCCCACCAGGCTCCTCCATCCATGGGATTTTCCAGGCAACAATAATGGAGTCACTTGTCATTTCCTTCTCCATAAAACTACACTACATATGATTCAAAAGGCTAAAGGAAAGATTAAACAGTGAGATGACTACAGTGAAGCAAGTGAAGTATTCAGAGTGAAAAATTTAAGAAGGAATCCATTCGTAGGCTCAAGCAAGAGCAGTGTCAGTACTTGAGTGGGAGTCCCACTTTAAATTTTGCCCTCTTGCTTCCTTACTCTGTGGGTATCTATGGACCCTGAGGTGCTGGAGATGGTCGCTTAATTGTTATGCCTTTTCCATTAAATGTTTTACTCACAAGTGAAAACATTGTATGGTAGGGTTTTTGTTATGCAGAAATAAAAATTATGAGAGCAATTTCTTGTGGGATGGGGTGGAACCTTTTGTGGTCACTTTTCTAAAATCAATTCCATAGTCAACAGTATACATCTTCTTCATGGTGTTCTCAAAAGATGTTTGGTATCTGTTAAGAAGATTGTGATAGAAAACGTTATGGTGAGCATGTTACTCACTAGATTTTCTGACTTCCTTTTGTGCAGGGAGTCACAGGATAGAAGTCACGTGACAAGCCTGAAAGGACAAAGACCTTATTATTGAATTCCTCAGTCTAAAGGGGTAGAGAATTTAGATATTGTCAATTCCTCTAGGCCCTAGACTTGTAGGTACAGATGATAATCAAGAATGGAAGATGCAGTGTAACCAGCAATGACCACATAGAAGATCAAACAAAGTGTGTAACACAGCACTAAATACTAGTGGAGATACTTGGAATGGATCAGGCTTTGTGAACTTTTAGGGGCAGAACTAAGCCACACTACATCTCCAGATAATTAACTGAATTAGCTGTAATGAAAAGTGAAACAGCATTGCAATGTGTAGACATGGAGTATCTTCAAGAAGCAGAGAAATGTTCTACATGTGTAGAACACAGTGCAAACAGCAAAAGTCATTACCACTCTCTTAAATGAGTAGTTTAAGGGGCATATATGTAGAGCCTTTAATAAAGCACATTTATGTTTTAAAATAAACTGGAAAATAGTTATGAAAGTTACAAAACTGAATATTTTATAGAAGGAGACAACCAATGAATTTATCAGAGTACAGTGTTATCACTTACTAAAAAAAACTGGAATTTCTTCAACTATAAACTTTATTAATGAAGATAGGAAATGAAATTGTTTCAAATACCTATTTATTTAGGTTATTAGCCTTTTTTGTATAGTAAGTCCCCTACATGACAACCATCAAATTGCAAACTTTCAAAGATGCAACCAGTCATTTATATGTCTATCATGTAGGCTGGTTCATGAGTCTGGCATACATTGTCATAGGTGTGCATCCTCGGCAATTTGTTGTACTTTTGTGACAAGCTGGAGCTATATCTGCAAGATTACTTAATTGAACTCCATGCTTTGCAACACAAGTTTATTAGCGAATACCTAATGGGATTGGAGGCCCAGAGAGAGGCCAAAGAGAGACAAAAGGAAGAAGGAACTGAAGAACTGAAGAGATTCATGATGCAGGAAATGGCAAGGGGATTTTTTTATTTGAAGAGAAACTTAGTTTTTGAGGTACACGACCTGAATGTAGAATGGTATATAAAGGTTACAGAATGCAATCCAATGCTATGATGTCATCTATGATGAGGGGAAAAAAAGAGAGAGAGAGAGAGAGAGAGAGAGAACTTCTACCCAGAGATAGGAATAGAAAACCACCTGACCTGCCTCTTGAGAAATCTGTATGCAGGTCAGGAAGCAAAAGTTAGAATTGGACATGAAACAATAGACTGGTCCCAAATAGGGAAAGAAGTACATCAAAGCTGTATATTGTCACCCTGCTCATCTAACTTATATGCAGAGTACATCATGAGAAACACTGGGCTGGATGAAGCACAAGCTGGAATCAAGATTGTTGGGAGAAATATCAATAACCTCAGATATGCAGATGACACCACCCTTATGGCAGAAAGTGAAGAAGAACTAAAGAGCCTCTTGTTGAAAGTGAAAGAGGAGAGTGAAAAAGTTGGTTTAAAGCTCAACATTCAAAAAACTAAGATCATGGCATCCAGTCCCATCACTTCATGGCAGATAGACGGGTAAACAGTGGAAACAGTGGCAGACTTTATTTTGGAGGGCTCCAAAATCACTGCTGATGGAGACTTCAGCCAGGAAATTAAAAGACACTTACTTTTCAGAAGAAAAGTTATGACCAAACTAGACAGCACATTAAAAAGCAGAAACATTACTTTGCCAACAAAGGTCCATCTAGTCAGGGCTATGTTTTTTCCAGTAGTCATGTATGGATGTGAGAGTGGGACTATAAAGAAACCTGAGTACTGAAGAACTGATGCTTTTGAACTGTGGTGTTGGAGAAAAATCTTGAGAGTCCCTTGGACTTCAAGGAGATCCAACCAATCCATAAAGGAGGTCAGTCCTGAGTGTTCATTGGAAGGACTGATGTTGAAGCTGAAACTCCAATACTTTGGCCACCTAATGGGAAGAGCTGACTCATTTGAAAAGACCCTAATGCTGGGAAAGATTGATGGCAGGAAGAGAAGGGGATGACAGAGTATGAGATGGTTAGATGACATCACGGACTCAATGGACATGAGTTTGGGCAAACTCGGGAGTTGGTGATGGACAGGAAGGCCTGCCATGCTGCAGTCCATGGGGTCGCAAAGAGTCAGACATGACTGATCAACTGAACCGAACTGAATTGAACCCAGATATCACTGGATGATGTTTTCAAGGGGATGCATAGAGTTGAATTCAGCAAGGATTCAATTTCTGATGATCCTTCAGCTCTACCATCTCCCACCTCCTCTGCCTACCCCAAACAGTAATTGCCAGTTGTTCCCCCCCGCCCCAGTACTACTGTACTTCTCATGGTGGGCTTCTCCAGTGGCCCAGCAGTAAAGTATCTGCCTGAAATGCAGGAGATGTAGCAGGAGATGCAGTAAAAGATGCAGGTTTAATCCCTGAGTTGGGAAGATCCCCTTGAGAAGGAAATCACAACACATTCTAGTATTCTTGCCTGGAAAATCACAAGGACAGAGGAGCCTGGTAGACAACAATTTATGGGGTAGCAAAGATTTGGATGTGACTTAGTGACTAAACAACAACAATTTTTCATGGTATTGTACTGTAAGATTAAAAACATTTTTCTTTATTTTTTGTGTTTGTTTTTATCTATTATTTGTGTGAAAACTATCATAAACATATTACAGTACAGTACCAAATAACTGATTATGTTTGTTAGGTACCTAGGTTAACTTTTTTGGACTTACAATTTGGGCTTATAAATATGGTCTGGGAATGGAACTTATTCATATGTAGAAGATTTACTGTATTTTAGATACCAAAATAAAATTTGCATTTGTAACATTGCCTCCTTTGCTGTGATAGTCTATCTCTACCTCAGCTATCCCAATTAGTGTTTGTAGGGCCTCAAATATGCAAAAATGTCATACTTTATGTGGATTATGTCAATGGCATCTATTCAGAATTAATACCAAGTTAAAGTTTCATAATCCAACTTAATATGTTTATTGTGTGATTTCCTTGTTTGAAGGTAGAAGCAATTGTATAGTAAATTTTATATATGCTTATATATTGCATATAAACTATACACATATATATTTTAAGTAAAGCTTTAAACTGTTTTCTTTTAATTTCAGCAAGAACTCACAGATGGCAATTGTTTTCTTCCATATCAAGTAAAATATTTCATACTTGAAAAAATTGTTCTACTTTTTCACTTCCTTTAAGGAGTGTCAAATTTCCTCACTATGGAGTAATCACTCTTTCTAATATGAACGTTTTAATAAATAGAGAGCAAATCCAATGATAATAGCATTCTTAATCAAAATCTCTATTTGGTCATCAGTATTTTAAGTTCTTATATCTCATTATGTAATAAGGCCTATATTATGAGGGAATAAACTAATAAGTGACCTAACAGATGAGATATTATTCTCCTTATGGTGTATTATGAAAACTTATACTGAGAGCTTTTATTAAAAATAATGTTAATTTGAATATCATTTAAAACACTATTTTAGTTGATGATGAACTCGGGCACCGCCTGCCGGTGCAGCACCAGGGCGATGCTGGAGGACCGGAAGTTGCTGTGCACGAAGGTGAAGTGAATCACGTGCCTGGGGAGGAGCAGAGAACCGCCGCCTGCGCCCGCGCCCCACTCGCTGGCAGCTGCGGGACCCCCACTTTATGTGGGCGCTCACTTTGCAAGCACTTCTCACAGCAGGCGCCCCAGCTCGTCCTGTCCAGGAAGGACCCTGCACTTGCACCCGCGTGGACGCCTCCGTCCATAATGTAGACCAAAAAAAAAAAAACCCCACAGTTCCCGGCTATGTTGAAATAAAGGTGAACATTCAGAACGCAAAAAAAAAAAAATAAATAAATAAATTAAATAAAATAAAACACTATTTTATTCAGACAATAGATTTGTGTCCTCAGTATAGTCTTAATGTGCAATATTTAAAATAATACAATGAATTATTTAAATATAGTAAAGATAACGTGTGCCTAGATTATGTTTATATTATGATTGTCCAATCACAGTAATATCTCCTCATGAGTTTAAATCCTTATCCATAAAAAGGAAAATGTGAATTTGTTGTATAACATTTTATGGAGAAAACAAATTTGGAGGAATACAATTATACATAATATTTTTGTTTTCTAATAATCTCTATTTACTAAAATAAAATTGTAGCTAAAGAAAATATAAATTTTATATTAGGATAATGGCATTGTGGCTCATTTGTATTAAATTTTACATACTGACAATACTTTATGTTTTGATGATCCATGATTTCTAATACTGACAGTAATAATAGCTTAAATAGAGAAAGACAATATTTTTTAAATGAATATCTTTCATAAACTAACAGATCTTCACATTCTCAGATTAATCAGCATTCTAGAAATGTGGAATTCAGTAGACTAATTTGCTATTGAATAAAAACCATGCCAGAGGATCCACATGAAATTGATTAAGTTGTTTTTCACAATGAATGATCACGTCCTGAAGATTTCATTGTACCCATTTATAAAGTCCTGATAAATCCTTCAATTCTTATCTGAAAATATGCTCTTAACATATGACTACTGACTACATTTAACTACCATTATATTGATTGAGTGCTCATAGAACAATGCAGAAGATTTGACTTAATTCGTGCACCCTAAGGATTAATTATTTTTAGAAGGGTATACTTTCTTGAAAAAATTTTGAAAGTTTTGAACTGCTGTTCTTGTCAGGCAGTGGGTTTGCTATACAATGCATGAATTTTCTATTTGCTCTCCGTTGGTATTTCCCACAGTTTATATCCTATATAGGGCAGTCAGATGACATGTTGCATTTCCTTTTGCAAGAAAAGGCAATTTTCACTTAGATTTGGAGTTTAAAATTCCAAATATTCAATATTGGGTGCTAAGAAATTCCATTTTGCACATAATATTCTCATATAATCCTTCATATTTCTGTGGTTTCCATTGTTATTTCTCCTCTCTCATTTTTGGTTTTATTTATCATAGCTTTCTTCTTTTCTTAGTGAGTCTAACTAAATGTTTGTCATTTAAAAAAAATCTTTTCAAAGAACAAACTCATAGCTAATTGATGTTTTCTATTGTTTTTTAGTCTCTATTGCATTTATTTCTGCTCTGATCACAATTATTTCCTTTATTCTACTGACTTTAGGCTCCATTTGTTCTTTCTCCAGTTCCTCTAGGTATGAAGTTAGGTTGTTTATTTCAGAATATTTTTGCTTTTTGCGGTAAGCCTGTATTGTTGTAAACTTCCCCCTTAGTACCAATATTATATCACATAAATTTGGTTTGCTGTCTTCTCTTTACATTTGTCTTCAGGTAGTTTTTTATTTATTTATTTATTTTTGGTTTATTTCTTAAGCCAATAACTATTCAGTAGAGGTTTGTTTACTGTTCACATATCTGTAATTTTTCCAATTACATGCACATGAGAAAGACCCATGTGCACATAAGGAGAATACATGTTCTGCTGTATTTTGTGGAATTTGTGTACAGAACTATCAAATCCATCTGATTTCTGATCTGTCTGGGATTATTCATTGATGTAAGTAGGGTGTTAAATTCCCCTACTGTTACTGTGTTGTGTCACTTTCTCCATTTAAGTCTATTACTATTTTCTTTCCACATTTTGATTCTGCTATCATATGTGCAATATAGTAATAATTTTGTAGCCTTCTTGATGAATTGCCCCCGATCATTAAGAGATGTCCAATTTTGTCTCTTTTAGATTTATTTGGCTTGACATATATTTTGTCTGGTGTAAATATGGCTATACCCACTTTCTCTGCCTCTGATCTGCTAGTATTACCATATTTGAGGATAGCATATACTCGTGTCTTATGTTTTTAATCCACTAAGTCATCTTGTGTCTGCTTGCTAAATTCAATCTGCTTACATTTAGGGTGATTGCTAATAGATGGGGACTTACACTGCCATTTTTTTTTCTTTTATTTCCTGGTTTTTCAATGTCTCCATTGCTTATTATTCTTTGTAGTCTTGTTTGGTATTTTTGGTTTTGTAAAGTTCTATGATTTTCTTCTCAGCTTTCTCATTTTCTTATCTTTTACAGATAGAATGAGGCTTCAAAAATAAAATAGTCATTTTTCTTCTAATATCATCTCTTCTTCATGTGCCTATATGTGTTTCATCCTATTCTTCTTCCCCTTTTGTGTTTCTGTTCTCTCAAATTACTCCTTGCCATGTTGCACTTGTTACCAAAATTATGTAGCTATAGTTAATTTTCATCTACCTTCTTTTAATCTTTAATAAAGTATTTAAAAACTTATGCTGATGAAATATTGCAATTTTCTAATTTGGTCTCAAAGCATTATTTATTTTTATCAGAAAATATAATCTTTATTGTTTCTTCCAGTTTCACTTTTACATAATTGACATATAGCACTGTATGAATTGGAGGGGGGTATAACATAATAGTTTGACTAACATTTTGTATTTTCATGTCAGACAGAATTCCTTTCAACGTTTCTTATAAGGCAGGTCTAGTGTTGATTAGGTCTTCAGCTTTTGTTTGCCTGGTAAAGTATTTATTTATCTTTCATATATAAAGAAAAACTTTGCTAGATAAAGTACTCTTGACTGACAGGTTTTATCTTTCAGTATTTTGAGAATATCATTTCACTATCTTGGCCTGTAGAGTTTCTGCTGAGATATCAGCCCATAGCATAACCTCCTCTATAGGTTAGTGTTCTTTTTCTCTCTAAGTTCAGTCACTCAGTCGTGTCCAACTCTTTGGGACCCTATGGATTGTAGCATGCCAGGACTCACTGTCCATCACCAACTCCCAGAGCTTGCTCTAACTCATGCCCATTGAGTCGGTGATGCCTTCCAACCGTCTCATCTTCTGTTTTCCCCTTCTCCTGCCTACAATCTTTCCCAACATCAGTGGCACTTCCAATGAATCAGTTCTTTGCATCAGGTGGCCAAGAATTGGAACTTCAGCATCACTCTCTCCAATGAATATTCAGGACTGACTTCCTTTAGGATTGACTGGTTTGATTTCCTTGCAGTTCAAGGGACTCTCAAGAATCTTTTCCAACACCACAGTACAAAAGCATCAATTCTTCAGCACCCAGCACTCTTTATGGTCCAGCTTTCACACCCATACATGACTACTGGAAAAACCATAGCTTTCACTATACAGACATTTGTTTGCAAAATAATGGCTGTTTTAATATGCTCTCGAGGTAGGTCATACTGCAGTAAACCCTGGTTCCATTCCTGGGTCTGAAAGATCCACTGGAAAAGAGAAAGGCTACCAACTCCAGTGTTCTTGGGCTTCACTTGTGGTTCTGCTGGTAAAGAACCTGCCTGCAATGCAGGAAACCTGGATTCAAGCCCTGGGTTGGGAAGATCCCCTGGAGAAGGGAATGGCTACACACTCCAGCGTTCTGGCCTAGAGAATTCCATGGACTATACAGTCCATGGGGTCACAAAGAGTTGGACACAACGGAGCAGCTTTCACTTGCACTAGGTTGGTCTTAGCTTTTCTTCCAAGGAGCAAGTGTCTTTTAATTTCATGGCTGCAGTCACCTTCTGCAGTGATTTTGGAGCCCAAGAAAATAGTCTGTCACTGTTCCCATTGTTTCCCCATCTATTTGCCATGAAGTAATGGGACCATATACCATGATCTTATTTTTTTTGAATGTTGAGTTTTCCCTCTCCAGTTGCCTTTAAAGTCTTCCTTTGTCATTGACTTTTTAAAATATGTCTTAGCATTTGAAGGTGTCACAGAGAAGATCATTTTGCATTGAGATATTTAAATGTTCTCTTAGATTCATGGACTTGCATATTCAATTATGTCCCCAAATTTGTGATGTTCTCAGTTTTTTCTTTTTTTTTTTAAATAAACTCTCTGCTCCCTTCTCCCTCTCCTCCCCTTCTGCAGTACCAGTTATCTTAATGGTATCCTTCCTAAAAGTGTTTAATAAGTCTCATACGATCTCCTTATTTTGTATATTTCATTTCTCTCTCCTCTTCTACCTCATCTTTACTAGATTTTTATCTTTCAGCTCTCTAATTCACTCTTCCATATGTTCTACTATGTTTTCAGTGTTTTCTAATGTATTATCTTGTTAACCTCCAGAATTTGTCATGAATTTCTTGTTCACCTCCAGAATTATTTATTTGTAAATTTTAATCTTTCTGGAAAGTATTTATTCTGTTTATGAATTTTGTTTTTGAGATCATTGAATTGCCTTTCTCAGTTTTCTTATAGCTCACTGAGTTTCTTCCTGAGACTTATTTTGAATTTTCTATCAGCTAAATTGTAATATTCCATGATTTAAAATTTAGTTTTTGGAGTTCTGTCATTTTCTTTTTTGTGGTACTATGTTACTGTGATTCTTCATGGTAGTTGAACATACTGGCATGTTCATAATGAACACATTTCTATTGATTCTAAAGATTCAACATATTAGAAATTAGAGGACATTGTTTTTTTTTTTTTTTCCTGCAGATGGTGAGATAGCATAACTATTTAGTTTCCAACCTAAGCTACCTCTGGCTTAATATTTGAGAGTCTTTACATTCCATCCTTCACAGCCTGTCAGAGGTGTCACCCCATAGCCTAGTTATCCCTGTTTGTGCCTCAAAGGCTATTGGTGCCTTGCTGCTGACACTGTCTAAGGCACTAGGTTTGTGAGGTTTTCCGTTCAGTCCATGATTCCCTGAGTTACAAGATCCAGTTCTCGGGGTGCAGGGATGAAGAGGGTTAAGAAAAGCCATGGTTGCAAGATAGTCTCTGCT